GTTCACGAAGCGGCCAAGTGAGGGGAGAGAACAGACCTCAGGTCAGCCTCCCAGAAGGCAAGAGGCTTGGGATGCATCGTGGGAGAGCAAACGGAGAAGCGGACTGGTCCCGGGTGTGCGGGGCGTGTGGTGGGGGCGTGGCGTGGGGGTGGGGGTCGTGGGGGGCGGGGGGATAGGTGACTGAGACAAGGTGTAGTCATTGTCGTCCTGCGCAGGCAGAACTCAGCTACAGGCCTCTGCACCTTCAGAAATGGAGGCACAGGATTTCCTTGGTGGTCTAGCGGTTAAGACCCCACGCCCACTGACGAAGGCCCAGGTTCCACCCCTGATCAGAGAACTAAGATTCTGCAAGCACCATCCTCCCGCTTCCCCAGGTGAGGCCAAACATTTAAAAAAAAAAAAAAAGGAGATGTTTAGCCCCACCTGAGGGTGGATCTCTGACATCAAAAGGTCATCCATGAGGAGGACCAGTGAGTGGTCCGTCTGGTCTTAACCAGCTCAGCTCCAGCTAGGCACAGGTGCCTCTGAGCTCCTGAAGACTGCTCAGCAAGCAGCTTGCTGTGCAGGCTTCACACCGCTAAGGGGACTGCCAGCCTTAAACGACCTTGACAAGTGAAGGCAGCTGGGATGCGTTTGATGAGTGATTCCCCAACAAGGAAGTGTAGCGCTGCCACCTGAACCCGGGCGTGACTGCAGCATCCATCCTCCCAGCCCTGGCCACTGGCTGGGCCGCTGCAGGGAGGGGTGTGCGGAGCCCTAACCTGGCAGAGAGGGTGCCAGGCTGAAGGCCCTCCTGGAGTGAGCCCCCCCACCCCGAGTGTGGTATGTGCGTGTGTTTGCATAATAACATAGATGTGTGTCACAGCGTCTGATAGTCTTAAATACAGTCGCTCCTTGTGGTCCACACCTCCTGCTTTTGTGAACCGGCCTAGTCACTCAATTTGATTTGTAACCCCAAATCAATACTTCTGTGGCCAGGTGCAGACACGCGCACTGCGGTGAAAGTCTGAGTTGCCCGATGCGCGGTTGCCAGCTGAAGTCAAAGAAGGCAACACTCTGCCCTCTGGTTTCAGCTCATACTTGTCTACCTAATGGTGGGCCTTCTCTGCATCTTTGCTTTTTCTCCATGGTTTTTCCATTTTAAACGGCCCGTGGGCATCGTGTTAAAGTGCTGAGACTAGTGTTTCTAAGTTCAGGGAGGCTGGGTGTGTCTTAGAGCAGCTTTGCTCAGGCATGAATCAGGTGCTGTGAGTTCAAAGACAGTGAATCAGTAAAATCTACCGCTGAAAGGGTCTTTAAATAAAAACACACATACATCAAGGCTGTGGGGCTTCCTTGGCGGTCCAGGGGTTAAGAATCCGCCTGTCAATGCAGCTTGCATGGCTTCAGTCCCTGGTCAGGGCAGATTCCACATGCCACGGAGCAAGTAAGCCTGAGCACCTCAACTCCTGAGCCCGTGCCGTAGAGCCTGTGCTCCGCAACAAGAGATGTCACTGCAAGAAGCCCCCACAGTGCAGCTAGAGAGCAGCCCCTGCTCTCACGGCCACAGGAGCCCTCGGGCAGCAACAAGACTCACTCAGCACAGCCAAAAATAATACATTTTAAAAGTTGTGTATTGATCTTTACTGATGGGACCAGAGGCTCACAGAAACCTAACCCCGTATTTCCCCAGGAAGGAATGGTTTGTGGATGCTAAATCACTTCAGTCATGTCTTTTTTCAACCCCATGGACTGTAACCCCACTAGGCTCCTCTGTCCATGGGATTCTCCAGGCAAGAATACTAGAGTGGATTGCCATGCCCTCCTCCAGGGGATCTTCCCGACCCAGGGATCGAACCCATGTCTCTTAAGTCTCCTGCACTGGCAGGCAGGTTCTTTACCACTAATGCCACCTGGGAAGCAATTCAGCCTCTCGGCATTCTGTTCCGTTTTTCACTCCTCTGCCCGCATTCCTGACAGCACTGCCTCCCGGCTGGCTTCCTGCCTTTCCTCTTGCTTGTTTCGCTGCCATTCAAATTCTACATATGGGGGTGACCCAGAACACTGCCTTCTGTTGTCAACACTCAGGCCCCAGGAGATCGTTTCCTACGTGTGGCTTTAAAGGCCAGCCTGTCTTCTGCGTTGTGGCTGCACCTTCCCTCTGGAACCCGGACTTCATATCCACCCACCCGCCCGCCGTCTCCTCGGGGCTGTCTAATGAGCACTGTGGGCTTCGCCTAAGGGAACCTTGACTCGGGCTTTCCTGGTGGCGCAGTGGGTAAGAATCCGCCTGCCCACGCAGGGGACATGGGTCCATCCCTGGTCTGGGAGGATTCCACATGCCGCGGAGCAGCTGAGCACACAGGCTGCAACTACGCCTCGAGCCCGTGCTCCGCAGCAAGAGAGGCCGCGGCAATGAGACACCCACGCAGCAACAAGAACCCAGCATGGCAAAAAACAAACCAACCCTTGATTACATCCCCCAAGCACGTTCCTCCTCTATCTCCCCACCGTGGTAAACACTCCCACTTTCCACCCAGTTCCTTGAGCCTCTAACCTCAGAGTCAGGGTCACAGCTGGTTCCTGCTTTTCCTCACCCCCTCCCCACATCCATCCATCTCACCGGACCTGCTCCCTCTAGCCGTCTCTGCCTCCTTCCTCCGAGTCCACACCACTAGCATCTCTAGTTTGGATGGATGCTGTGGCTTCTTCCCACTCAGGCCCCTCCGAAACCAAGTCCGCCTGAAAGAAAGGGCTTCTCCCGAGTTTATTATTAACCTCTATCCAAAACCTATATCCAAAACCTTATCCCCTTTCTGTCCTGCAGTCTTGACGGGACTCAAGATTGAGGAGAACCAAAGGAAATGGGGGACTGAAGCCAAGCAGGGCCCTGTGGGGCCCTCCTGGGGACAAATGCCATTCCATGTCCCCTGTTTCTTGTTTACAGAAAAAGACTTTGTAGTCTCCTAGACCTTCCCTGAGTTCCAAACAGCGGACTCAACAGTTACTAATTAGGGAAGGAAGGGAACACAGCAAAGAAGAGCAGGTCCGAAAGGTCTTGAAAACAGCAGGGGCTGACCAGGAAATTCTCAAGCAGTCAGTCACCTTGGCTCTAAGTAAACAATCAAATGCCTCAACCATCCCTTTTGCTCCTCTGAGAAAGAAGTTAAGGAATCAACAAGACTGTGATTTATTAGTTTTTCAGGAATACACAGACAGATCGCCAGTGACACAGAGTCACAAGACGGAAGGAGTACCGAGAAGCGGGCAACTGAGGTATTTTCAGGAAACTGAAATCACACAGATCCCTCCTCGTTACCTTTTTTTTTTTTTCGCTTTTATAAATCTTGCACTCCAGCCAGAAAGATGGATTTGAGACAAACCTCTTGTCCACCCAGTTGCCACCTCCTGGACTAGTAAACCCTTCTCTGCTCTAAACGCCAGCGTTTCAGTTTGTTTGGCCTCACCGCATGTCATGCACATGAACTTGATTTTGAAGACACCCCCCACCCCCAAATCCGTTCCCCACACAGCAGCCAGAGTGATCTTTTAAAAGAAACTAGAGCCTTCCCCCACAGGCTAATGGTTAAGACTCCAAGCTTCCAGTGCAAGGGCGCAGGTTCAATTCCTGGTTGGGGAACTAAGATCCCACATGTCTCATGGTGAAAAAAGAAAAAAGCAGAAACCAGATATTGCCTCCCCTAAGGGTTAAGTCCTCAAGGGCGGGCTTCCGTTGTTACCAAGTCCAAGCTCGCTCTGCTCGCCACACAACAGGCCAATGAATCCGAGAGACAAGGTGTTGAGGCAAGCAAGGGAGAGACTTTAATCGGAGTCAGCAGACTGAGAAGATGGTGGGCTAGGGCCTGAAAATAACCATCTTATTGGGGTCTGGATGCCAGGTTCTTTTATAAATCAGAGAGAAAGAAGCAATGAGGAACTACAGTCAAAAGGCAGAATAGCCAATCTCTTCTATTCATAGGTGGGCAAGGACAAGCTCACTCTCCACGAGCTGAACAAAGGCACTTTCAGTGCAGTTCAGTCGCTCTTTGCGATCGCATAGACTGCAGCGCACCAGGCTTCCCTGTCCATCACCAACTCCCAGAGCTGGCTCAAACTCATGTACATGGAGTTGGTGATACCATCCAACCATCTCATCCTCTGTTGCCCCTTCTCCTCCTGTCCTCAATCTTTCCCAGCATTTAAGAGGCGTGTTAGTTTACAGTCAAGCAAGAGGGGCAGGGTCCTCCGGGCAAGCCACTGAGTATGATTATAATAATAAAAGCAAGTCAAAGCAACGGTTTCAACATGCGAGTCAGAACGGGCTTTCTCCCTGAAGCACCATTACACTTAACGTAGGAGCTGAAGGCCTTCAGCCCAGCCTCTGCCTCCCACGCCTGCTCCCAATGACTCCACCCCGGAAGCATTTCCCGCTGCTTCTCTCCCGTAGGCCTCAGTTTTCCACCCACTCACCACCTGTTCCGTTTCTTCCACGGCTCCATCACTGGTTCACTTGCCTGTGCCCTGTCACACCCACAGCCCCCACGCCCCCAGACTCAACTCAGCTTCTGACAGTAAGGACTCCCAGGGCCAGCAGGGCGCTTGGGACGTCACAGGTGTGAAACAGATGTCGCTGAGCGATCTCAGAGACTGAAAGCAAGCACATAAGTTGTGCACACCTGAAAAAACTGCTCCTACGGCAGGAAGAACCTACAAACCTGCAAGTAGACACGGTCACTTTTGCTGCCTTTAATGCCCAGAGCTCAGCAGCAGGGGAGGAGCCTGCCTGAAACACCCAGACCCTGGCCACACCCCCCAGACTGAGTCATCACAGCTCTGGCCATGATTAGGCATTTTAAGCAGGTATCATTTGAAAAGACCCTGATGCTGGGAAAGATTGAAGGTGAGAGAAGAAGGGGACAACAGAGGATGAGATGGTTGGATGGCATCACTGACTCAAAGGACATAAGTTTGAGTTAAACTCCAGAAGTTAGTGATGGACAGGGAAGCCTGGTGTGCTGCAGTCCATGGGGTCGCAAAGAGTCAGAAACGACAGCAACTGAACTGACCTGAACCTCAGATGTTACTCTGGATCCCCACACTCCACCCTGCCACCACCAATACCTTGAGAAACACTGGTTTGGCGCATAGAAAGTACCATCATTATTTTAATTCTGTTTCAACATTTATCATTTGAGGGGAAAAAATTGAGTTAGAGGAGAGACGTTCTATTGACTTTTGAAAATAGGAACGTAACTAAACTTGGTTTAGTAACTAAACCAACATAACTAAACTTGGTTTCCAAGGTTTAGAACGTAGCTAAACTTGGGTTTCCAAGGTGCGGGGAAGGAGGGCTGTGTGGAAACCGTTTCTTCCATCATCATCCCTGGAAACAGGCACAGTTTCTCCTCCTCCCCTTTGGAAATTAATCTATGTTTACTGTCCAGCATACATTACTAAAGTGATCTACAACCTCTATCTAATAACATAGATCAGTAAGGAGAACCACCTGAGAAATTAACCTGGGGCAAGTCCTCAGGCAATTTTCCATTTTCTTGTTCCCCAGAATGTAGCAAAAAAAAATTTTTGGCAGAGGGGGGCACGGCACAGCTGTGCTCTGACAGGCTTCTCAAGTTGTGGCACGCACTTGGGATGTTGGTTCCCTGACCAGGAATCAAACCCATGTCCCCTGCATTGGCAGGTGGATTCTTAACCACTGGACCACCAGGGAAGATCCTGCAGCAAACATTGAGCAGACACTAGGCTGAAGTCCAAAGGGTTCCGAAGTGCACTTTGTTGGGCAACACAATCCTCACCTTCAAGGACTCCGGGTCTGATCGGGGACACAGACAAGAAAGGCAGGCCGGTGCCACTCGGGGTCCTGTGTGGGCATGGGCCCCAGGCCTCCGGGATGAGCAGAGGCTAGCTCAGATCAGAAACTCAGATCAGAGACTAGAGGTGACGATGGCCTGAATTAGAACAGACATGAGGTGGGGAGAGCAAAAATGAGGGGCTTGGGGGATTTCAGAGACATTTCAGAGGGAGAATTCACAGGACCTGAATTCTCCTTGTGGGGTCAGGATCTATAGAGTTCTGCGAATCTACAGAGTTACCAGCTGTGCCAGGCGACAGGGAACCAGGAGGTGGAGCAGGTATGTGAGGGAAAGATGAGGACGCTAGCTGTGGGCGGGGTGAGGCCGGGGGCCTGGGACACATCCTGCTGGGAAGAGATCAGGGTTGTAGGTGATGATACGGGAGCCCTCAGGCGAAACGGTGAGTGGGTGAGAAAACTCCAGGAGAAGTGTAGAGAGAGGGACCTGGACAGGATCCTGAGAAACACCAGTATCTAGTGGACACACGGAAGAAGAGAAGCCCGCGCAGGGTGCGGGGGAGAGTCTGGTGGGCTCACCAGAGAAGGAAGGAGGGTATCCGGGTGGAAGGAGGGGGACACAGGGACAGACGGCAGTGGCTGGGACATCTGGATTTAGCAGCACAAAGGGCCGTGACTCCAGGTGGCTGAGGAAGAAACGCAGGAAGTGATGACAGCTCTCTGAGGAATTTATAGTCTGAAGCGCAGGGGAGAGGCAACAGGAGTGGAAAGGAGACTGAGAGAAAGATGGGTGTCAGCAGGGTCGGGGGAGTGCTGGGGACTGAGTGAGGAGGAGGGTCAGAAAGCAGGGTATCTGAATTTAAGAGTTCACACTGGGAATTCCCCAGCAGTCCAGTAGTTAGGACTCGGCGCTTTCGCTGCCAGGGTCCCGCGTTCGATCCTCGGAAGTTCACAGAGGGTGATAAGTGCTGGGCTTTAGGAGTGAATGGTCAAGGGGACAGACCTTGTCTCCATGTCAGGGAGATACACTGTCCACGCCAGCTGGGAGGCCATCCTGGCTAGGAGCTGGGGGAGGGAGGAAGACAGCAAGGATCACAGTGTTCACAGAAAGAAGGGTCACAGTGGGGGTCACAGAGGATGAGGTCACCAGCATGGGGATGACCTCTGGGATGCGCCTCCCAGAGTTGCCTTTTTCAAATGTGGGGTGGCCAAGGCCTCAGCAAAGGAGGTGACTTGCCAGACCACCAGCCAGGGGAGTGTCAGCACAGACTGGAACCCAAACCTCCCCGCTGAGCGGCTAGTACTATGCACCTTGACCTGAACCACCTCAGCCTCTGCGTAACCCCCACTCAGCAACCTGGGCACCTGAGTGCGCTCTGCAACTGTGAGTACTGTGATCATTAAATTTCTCTTTCAGCTCGGTGCTGTCAGCATGCTTAATCTCATAGGGTGGGGAATGCCGTTTTCTTGGGTTTGGTTAGTAAACGAGCTCTGGAAAGCCCTGGTAATTATGACTTACATTCTACTTCTGCCCAGACACGCTAGATAAATGTGCCTGGGGGTGGGAGCATGACTACCAGGCCTAGGAAGCTTTCTAAAGGATGTGCAATCAGGGTTCAGAGGTAAGAACTCAAGCAAAGGACTCTGTTGCTCAAAGAATGTTCACCTGTGATGCAATTACTGCCATTAGCAAAGTGTTCAGAATGTTTCCTTCCTTTTTTGAACACCAAAAACATTTTATACTGGGGTGTAGCCGATTAACAATGTTCTGATAGTTTCAGGTGAACAAAAAATTTTAAAAATTAAAAAAAAAGAATGTTTTCCTCCTGTTTTTCAGTCCACTTTATCAACTGCCAGAGGTGTGAAAGCCACACTGTATTTTTTGTGGACTTTGCTCCCCAAAATACAACAATCTCTTTCCTGTTGCCATGGGTGGGAGGGGCACTAATCAGACCCCAGGATTTTCCTCATTCCTTTGTTAGGGCGGTAAACACAGGGAAACTAGCTTAGTCAGCTCTTAAGTGTTCTCTCGGAATAAAAGGTGTCATTCTGGCTCTCAGCGAGGGTCTTGAAGTATAAATGGATCTGGCCTGGCATACCTGCTAATCTTTACTCATCCAAAGGTCGGAAAACTTGGACTGGGCGACAGGAATGGAATTTTTCTTTTTTCTTTCCTTTGGATAAATGTGTCACGGTGCCATGCTGTTGTGACAGATGGAAAAATCCTATGTAGGGCACGCAGGAAGGGCTCCGAGGGCCCGCCTGGCACGGTGGGTGGATGGGAACCCATCTCTCCTCTCAGTGAGTTACCCATATGCACTTCCTGAAAAGACCGTTCCTGTTTGAATGTCTGGGTTACAAAACCGGAGAGTTCACCGTTCCCAGTGAGAGGTTCCCTGCAGCCTGGAACGGAAGCAGCCAGAGGCACTGCGGAAACTTCTCCCCCAGCGCTCTGCCCACCAAGCATGCCGCACTCGGGTGAGGACCCCGCAGATCTAGCTGGGCCTGGTGGGTGGGGCTGCGGTTCCAGGTGACCAGCTCCGGGTGCATGCTCAGCCTGGGGTCGCTGTCCACCTGGCAAATTGGGGCGTGGCCACCCACACCTTCCCCCAACGGAGCCTCCTCTCCCCTCCACCCCTTCTTCCCCCCCTCACCCCGCCACCCACCGTCCGCCCGGCAGACTGATAACGAGATCCCATCCGTCCACAGGGTCAGTGACCGGTCCTGGGCGTCCTCCGGGGCTCACCCTGGGAACCTGGTGCTCCTACGCTGTGCTCAGACCCACACACGTCTGGCAGACTAGGGCTCACCCTGCCCTGCACTTGCGGGCCAGACCCAGGGGCAGAGAAAGCGCAGCCTCCCCATTCCGTCGCTGGGGAGGAAGAGCGAGGGATGCTCAGGCTTCCGGCTCTCCTCACCACCGCGGCGCTCCCCGCGGGACTGGCCGAAGGAGGGAGGGGGCCGCTCTCGGCGCCCCGGCCGGGCCACCTGGCCACCGGGCCACGCCAGTGCCGCCAGCCGCGCGCCTGAGCCGGAGTTGGGCCGGGAGGGCAGAGCAAAGATCGGTGAGTGCTCGCTGCGAGATCTCCGCCCCGGCGGGGGCGGGGCAGCCGGAATTGCACCCGGAGACCCCAGCTTCCTCCTGGGCAGGCCTACGGGACAACTGTGAGGTTGGGACCCCAAGCCCGCGGGACCCCCGAGCGGGGTGACTGGGAGGTTGCAGGGCGCGGAGAGATACGGGCCGCATGCGGGTCCCGGCTGCTAGGGGGTGCTGAGGGAAAGGAACAGGGATGCAGGCGGGTTCCTCTAGAGAGACCCAGGGGAGGAGGGGAGCTGAACCCTCCCGTGTGCGGGTGTGACAGAAAGAGTCAGAAACAGCGTTTCTGCGCGGCACTCGCCATTGCTAGTGCCCCAGATGTTTAAGGGAAGTTGACAGGCAAACCCCCAAACTCACCCCCTGGAAATGTTTCCCACGGCCAGAGAGCGTCACGGTAATTCTACGAGATCTCTCTTCTCTGACCGCCCCTTATTTAAAAACAAAACCAAAGGCCCACAAGGTTTGTCCAGGAGAGCATCCTTTGGAGCCTCTGCCACCTGACAGAAAGGTCAAGCTCCATCTTGCCCTGCCCCACCCGCTGCCTAAGCCGAGCCCTGGAGTCTGAGGACCAGACTCTGCCTCTGGGGAGCCCGGGTGGGGAGGAGGCTTGGCCCGGGGTAGGACTCTGGGGCTGGGGGGCCCGAGGATGGGTTTGAATCCAGTCTGAGCTGCTCCCTCTGCAGGAAGTGGTTTCTCTGTCTTGGGGCCCCACAGGCTCACCTCACCACCCCCGCTCCAAGTCCACAGACAGTCCTTCCTCCCCAAATCCTGCCACTGGGGACATCAGTAGAGCTGAGGCCGCCCAGGCCACTGTCAGCTCTCACTGCCCATGAAATTCTCCAGTCTCCAACCTGGGCTCAGCTCACCTTCACTGATGGTCCCCATCTCCACCCCATTCATCTCTCTGGAGGCCACCAGGCCCTCCTGCCCTTCCCAACTGGCCAAGTGTTTGAGCACACAGACCAGACGGAACCCCGATGGCTCCCTCACCAACTCCTCCCAAGCCTGGGCATCTGGGCAGCGCCAGGGCAAGTCCAACACAGTCCTACCGCCTGGGCCGCACGTACTCCCTGAATCTTGCTTCCACCACTGTTCCCCTGGCCCCGCTGCAGCCAGCCTTCCTGCTCTGCCTCTCAGACCCTCTCCCAGTGCGCACCATCTTGTCTTTGCAGGAGAGTCCCTCTTTGCCAACGCTACCTTCACTAACTGTGTCCTGGTCCCTATCTCGGCTCCCTCGCAGGGACCCTCTCCTGGCCCAACAGTAGAGGCAGCCACACCCTCATCCAGCCCATCAGCCCTCACACCGGCTCCACTACAGCAGCATTTAACTCACCGGACAAGAATCTCCCCCCACTTAGGCCACTCGCCCACTGAACATCCTCACCTTTCATCTTTGATCCTTAAGTACCAAATGCAGTCTTACCTTAGGGCCCAGGAAGCGTTTACTGGATGCAGGACGGAGGATGGATCCTCTGAGGGGGCAAAGGTTGTGCCTTTCACCCTTCCACAGGCTGGACAGTGTCTTCATCAACCCCGTGGGCTCACTTCTGTTATGTAGTGGGGCAAAAAGAGAGAAAAAATGCATTTCCAAATGATGCCATTCTAAATGATTTGGAGCCAGCCAATGGATTGGTTAGTGAACATTTCTCCGAATTCTCTCCCCAAGGGAAGGGACATTCCTGTGACTGAAGTGATCACAAGCAGTGCTGCTGGCTGCAGATGTGGGTGGGGGCTGCGGTGGTGGTGACCAAGGTTCCCAAGTCGGCCCTCTTGTAAACGACCTAGTAATTGGCATCCCTGGGCAGAAACAGAAGAGCACAGAGCTGTTCTCTGGGGGCCATATTGGCCAGTAAAAGCCGTGCCTCCATGGCCTGGTGCAAAACAAAGAGGAAGGCACCCCCCAAAAGAGAGAGCCTCCCCCCTCCCCAGGACCTTCCCAGAGAATCCATTTAGGGACTGGCATGGGCAGATCAAGTTTGGGGCATTTTCTCAGCCACAGACCCTGGTAAACACCCTCTATCCTGCCCACCCACCCCCAACCTGGCTCCCTGGGACCTAGGAACGCTGATCTGTTTGTAATAGCCTTAAGTAGGCTTTTCACCGGGCCCATGCGGGCCTGAAGGTACAAGTTAATATCTGATGCTAAGTGAGCTGTGAGGTGCCTGTGCCCTTGAAGCCTGCCCTACAGATTAATTAGAGCTGATCCTGAGGGCTGCTGCAGGGCCAGCCCTTGGGCCACACAAGACCGCCAATCCCCTATTTGGATTAGTGGAGATTTGGGTTTGAATTCACAAATCTCGACAGATCAGCCCTTCTGATCTTCATCCTGTGTTACTGTCAAACCGCATGTCTACTGGGATGACTTGAGGGGTCTCCAGCCTCCATTTCTTAATAAATAAATAAACCCCCAAACTATGTTCATGTCAATTGGCCAATTTGGTTTTTCATTTTGCTAAAGTTTTCCACTGCACCCTGGATGTAGCTTCAGTTGTATAAATCAGTTATTTTCAGGGTGAACTGTGTTGATTTAAATTGAAGTGAGATTTGAGAAATTAGCAGCTGTGTGGGAACATTGACTTCATGGTTGGCACCTGGCAATTGGAAGGCAATTTGGGGTCTTTGGGCTCCATTCCCTTGTTAATGAGAATCTCCAGGATTCTTGCCTGGCGGGCTACAGTCCATGGGGTCGCACAGAGTCGGATACAACTGAGCGACTAACAGGGTGGGCATGTCTCCACGTGAAGATGAACAGGTTGGAAAAGTCAGGTGTTGTGCTTAGAATCCCAGGGCCGGGTCAAATCCAGAAGTTTCAGGTCCTTGAAACTTCCAAACCACTACGACTCCCTATTCCTTGAAGATAGGCATTTAGGTGCTTTCGGCCAGCCTTGGAATTCTGTGCACCCAGAGCCACGCTCAGTTGGAGCTTTTCTCAGCTCAGGCGAGGAGACCAGATTTCAGCTTTGTGGAGGAACATTGGACGCTTCAGTGGGTCCTGAAGATGCACCCGCCTGACCCCTCTTTCCCACAAGTGGTCCCTACATTGCTGTGTGGGGACAAGCCTCAGAGGCCAGAGCCCCACCCTCGTGCACCCCTGGATCCCGTGGCCCTGGCGTAGGGTGTATATAGCGCGCCTCTAGGGAAGGTAGAAAGGACTTGGGAGTCTGGTTTCTCCCCGCACCGGGGACCCTCTGGTATACCTGAGTGTGTCTCTCCCGCCCCCAGCCTGGCCCCCACCATGAGCGCCGAGCTCAACGTGCCTGTGGACCCCTCCGCTCCCGCCTGCTCGGAACCCGGCCATAAGGGCATGGATTACCGGGACTGGGTCCGCCGCAGCTACCTGGAACTGGTCACCTCCAACCACCACTCTGTACAGGCGCTCTCCTGGAGGAAGCTCTACCTGAGCAGGGCCAAGCTAAAGGCCTCCAGCCGGACGTCAGCGCTCCTCTCGGGCTTTGCCATGGTGAGTGGAAGCGTGTGGTGGGAAGCACAGCCAATAAGGTGGGCTTCTGCCAACTGAAATCCCGTGATGCTTCAGGGAGCAAACCCCAGCCTCTGGGCCCTGCTGGCAGCCAGGGAAGTGGTCCAGGATGGACCACTAGGAAGTCTCTGGCCAAGGACTTCCCTGGAGGTCCAGTGGCTAAGACTGCACTCTCAATGCAGGGGAGCCTGGGTTCAATTCCTGGTCAGGGAACTAGATCCCACAGGCTGCAACTAAGACTCCTCCCCCACCCCCACCATCCAATAAAACTCTCCGCCCAGGCCCCACCCCCTCCAAGGGGATTGGTCTGGGAACCGGAAGGACGGCCTGGGGCACCCAGGGGAGTCCCCCAGGCCCTCATAAGGCCCCCAAGAGTTTGGCAATGTGAGCAGGAACTGCAGAATGGACCTGGTTTGCTCAGTGTAACCCCCCCTGGGCACGCACACGCTCCCCTGAAGTGATGAAGCAGAGCCTCTGGCCTGACTCCCGGCTGCCCGGTTATGCTTTCCTTCTGAGTCATCCCGCAGGGCGAGTCTGTCTGGGGAGAAACCGCGGGCCCCCAGGAAGGGCCACTACTCCTGTTGACTCCAAAGCCCGCAGACCTCATCCCTCCGAGGGATCGTCTCAGAGCGCGGGGATGTCAGGAGCCCAGTGAGAACTGCGGCACCGCTACTCCTCTCTGTTGTCTGCTAGGAGGTCCTATTGGGCTGGAAGCAATACTTTTTTTTTTTTTTAACGTGGAAACAATTTTTTTTCCATAGCCTAGAGCGTCAGTTGTCCAGTGGATATGCAGAAAATAGAAAGGTGTCTGAGAGAGCCAGTGTGGCCACGCCTCTGACAAGGGCCTGCCAGTCATGGGCACCAGTCACCCTCAGAGAATTGAGACATTGTGTAGTCAGGGCGTGATTTCATACAGGGCAGGGCAGTGGTCACCACATTTAGAGGGCAGTCAATCTGCGTTCAGGTCTGTGGTTTAAAGCAAAGGCTGATTCAGGTCTTGCAAATTATTTTTTAAAAAACAGGGTCTTCCCTGATGGTCCAGTGGCTAAGACTCTGAGCTCCCAAAGCAAGGGGCCCGGGTTTGATCCCTGGACAGGGAACCAGATCCCACAGGCCACAACTAAAGATCCTGCATGCCACAACTAAGACCTGGCACTGCCACATAAATACATATTAAAAAAAAAAAAAAAATTATACAAGTGTCCAGTCACACGGGGCAAAATTTTGGCTCAAAATGATTTTCTTTCATCACATTAAAAAAGGAATGTTTTCTCAAGCTTAATTTTAAGAAATATGCAAGGGAATTTTCAATGTCACTATTAAAATTAGATCTTGGGGGACTTCCCTGGTGGTCCAGTGGCACAGACTGTGCTCCCAATGCAGGGAGCCCGCGGTTTGATCCCTGGATAAGGAACTAGATCCCTGCGCAGCCAAATAAATAGAAATAAATATTTTAAAAATTAAATCTTGTTTTCTACCTTCACAGAAGAATTATAGTACTGCATTAAGTTTTTCTGGCCTGTATATATATACATATATATGTATATATGTGTGTATATATCTTTGGAAAACTAACTCTGAGAAGCATTGCCCGACTGAATGCGGTAGGATGGTTTCCATTCTGTGTGGGGCCCAGGTCTTGGAAATCACTTCCTGTCTGCAGGCGGTCTCTAGAGACTACGGTTTGGATTTCCAAATTTAGGGAAGAGTCACTTTTTCCAACAAAACGCTCACCCAAGTTGAAGGCTACAAAACCCCTCATTGAAATTTGAAAACAAGCCCAGTGAAGCTACAAAACACAGAGTGAATCCTGGAGGGTTAGTTTGAGACTTAATTGCAGCCTTCAGGGGTGTGAAGTGGCCTGAGAGGCAACAGTGACCTTTGAGAGGCAGGGGTGGAAATAATAATGCATTTTCTCAGCTTTCATGGAATATCTCCTCTGTATCAGCCAGTGCTCCCGTTAAGAAACCACACAGACCCCAGTAAATCAGATAATTGTTCAGACAGCAAAGCCACCTAGGAGAAAGAAGTGATGAACACCGATCGTCAGCCAGTATTTCCGCTGTGGAAACAACAGCTGAATGAGGACAGGGCCGTGGAAGAATGAACAGGCGGCACTCGACGCGGAGTCCACTCTGTGTCCTTCGTCATCGCTCAGTCACTCAGTCACGTCCGGCTCTTTGCAGCTCTCTATATTTTGTATTCCCTAATTAGAATCGCAAAGCTGGTCCTTTGTCCAACAAGTGCTCATGCCTGACCTTAAGCTTATATCTTCATGTTTATCCTGCCCCTAACACAGAAGACCTGTGATCCGAGGCCTGTGATAAAATATCTGCATAAATACACTGAAATATGACCTTTGGCCTTTTCTCCTCCTGCGGTGGAACAAAACTGCTTTCCTTGCTGGCCTTTTAATCATCTATGTTTCTTTTCTCACCACCCTCTGAGGTTTATGACAACCTTTTTTGTTGGGTCACATCCTTTGTGGTCACAAGAGCCTACCCAGGCTACCAGGGCACTGAGAAAGGACCACCCCTCCCTCACCTAGGCAATGTCCCACTGAGTCTTTGGAGCAATAATCATTGCAGAGTTTCCATTCAAGCTGTGGTCCACTAGGACTGACATTATCTTTTTCCCTAACAAGGGTTCTATCTCCACTGAGGACGGAATGAGGGGATAAAGCAATAGTTGCTAGAAGTTGTGAAATCTTTCTTGTAAATTTCTTAAAACTGGGATGGCTCTGGGAGTTCCCTGACGGTCCAGTGGTCAGTGGTTGGGACTCTGGCACCTTTTTTTTTTTTTGGCTGCTGTGGCCCTGGGTTCAATCCCTGGTCAGGGAACTAAGATCCCACAAGCCGCACAGTTCAGAAAAAAAAAAAAAAACAAACAGGGATGGCTTAGATCTAGGAGACAAACAGCGAGTGGAAGAGCTCCCTGCTCCTGCTGTCTTAATGGGTCTGGTTTCTTATAGTTGGGTACCTGGGAGAAAGCCCTTGGTGAGCCAAGACTAAACCCTCCACTGGGGCTGGTCTGCAGAGCTGGGGTGGGGTGTGGGCCGCAGGAGAGCCATCCTGGGAAAGCGTGGCAGGAGCATGGCACCCAGTCTGGATTTTGAAAGCCCCTTAGGGCTTCTGGTGAGCAAGTCTCAGCCTAAATAGACACCCACTGCTACAGAGATAAGCTAGGGCTTCTGGTCCTTCGGTGGATCTCTTACTCCCTTTGATGTAAAAGTGATTTATATGTTATTGAAGTGAATATACGCACACAGTTTAAAACCCTAGCAGCCCCTGGTTCCCACCCCTGGAGGAGCCCCTCGGTCTCCACGTGGAATTCAGGAATTACTGTTTCTTACACTTGCTAGACATACCTTTGGCCTAGCTGTGACCACTGCTGAAGATCCGGCTGTTTGCCCAGCCCAGCCCAGCCCTTTTCCCAGCTTCCCCTTCTTACCATTGTTCTCATGTATATGACCATTCCTGGCCTTCGGAGATGAGGCTGCTCCTTCCTGCTTTTGGTCTCAGCTGACAGAGGCACCCTGTGGCTTGCATGAGTCCATCCAGTGTGTACAGTTCTGAGTCTGGGGGTCATCAGGAGCCTCCATTGTTCCTTTTATTTTTTTTTAAACCCCTGAAAGGTCAGGTTGTTTGTTTTGAAAAGCAGCAGTTGTTGGGAGCTAAGCCCTACAGCAGCCTGGCTCAGCTATCAACAGCAGTGTTGCATTTTCCCAGGGAAGTGTGGCCTCGCCCTGGGCCAGAGCTAAGCACCCCCAGCACTCCCATTCTTGGCACCCAGGATGCAGTCTCCGTGGGACCGACTGCTTCTTTAGCCTTTTCTGTGCTTTTTTTTTTTTTTCTGTGCTTTTTAGATTGCCCTTAGTGAGACCTTCTTTAGTGTATCAAAAAGAAGTTCATAATATGTGAACAGGGGAGGAGAGTGCCCTCTGCTCTGTGGAGGCCCCGACTCAGCGCCCCCTCTGCCTTGCAGGTGGCCATGGTGGAGGTGCAGCTGGAGACGCAATACCAGTACCCGCGGCCGCTGCTTATCGCCTTCAGCGCCTGCACCACGGTGCTGGTGGCCGTGCACCTGTTCGCCCTGCTCATTAGCACGTGCATCCTGCCCAACGTGGAGGCCGTGAGCAACATCCACAACCTCAACTCCATCAGCGAGTCTCCGCACGAGCGCATGCACCCCTACATCGAGCTGGCCTGGGGCTTCTCCACCGTGCTGGGCATCCTGCTCTTCCTGGCCGAGGTCGTGCTGCTCTGCTGGATCAAGTTCCTGCCCGTGGATGCGCGCCACCAGCCGGGCCCCCCGCCCGGCCCCGGCGGCCACACGGGCTGGCAGGCTGCCCTGGTGTCCACCATCATCATGGTGCCCGTGGGCCTCATCTTCGTGGTCTTCACCATCCACTTCTATCGCTCGCTGGTGCGCCATAAGACCGAGCGGCACAACCGCGAGATTGAGGAGCTGCACAAGCTCAAGGTGCAGCTGGACGGGCACGAGCGCAGCCTGCAGGTGGTGTGAGCGCATGCGCTCCCAGGCGCGGCCGCCGCTGCGTCTGCGTCACTTGGCGTGGACCGGAACTCGCCTGCCTCCTGGACAGTTTCAGACACGCGGAGGGCCCATAGGGCCACCGAGTCACTCCCAGACGGTTCGAGACCAAAGTTCTACTCCTGTCTTAATGCTGTTAAGACCTGGCTCGTTTTCCCTCGGAAGATGGACCTCTTCAGTTAAAGGGGAGACTGATGGCCAAGAGCTGAGGGCAAAGAAAGACTGAGTCCTTGGCCCTGGGGACTTCCAGAGGCAAGGAGGCCGGGCTCTGGGTTGTAAGGGGTGGTCACGGGTCCCCTTGGAGACTTGGACTAAGTGACCAGCTTGGGGCGGGAGCCTGGCAGGGGCCTATAGAGTCAGGGCAGCATCCTGAGTTCAGGGAAGGGATTGTACCCTGATTCCGGAGCTGGGCTGGTGGCAGCCCGGGGGCATGAGTGATGATACCACCCTGCTATGAATAGATGGGGCGCAGGATTAACAGCTTGGCCTGGTGCTTCCCTCCCTGCCCTGGAGGGAGTTGGGTGGCCTGGCTCCTGGGGCAGGTGAGGGCGGGGAGGCAGGAACCTGGGTAGAGCAAGTCAATACAGCAAGTGCATCAGACTAGTTAGGTCTTGGATGAGATGTCCAAGGTCTGAGGCCAGCGGGGTCGGGAGGCCTATCTCTGGGCATCCCAGGTGAGGTGCCCACTTGAGGGGGCTAACAGGGATGGCCTGAAGCAGCCTGAGCTCAAATTCTCTCTTCCCAGACAGCAGGATCCCTGGCCACACTGACCCAGCGAGGCCGCCAGGTTGGGGAAGAGGCCCACAGTCCAGAGACGTCCTCTCAACCCCAGATGGTCCCCTGAGCTGTCAGCCCTCCGAGCTGTGAATACGGAGGGCAGGACACTGGCCAGGCAGCTGAACTCACCCATCTCCCTGCTGCCTGTGGCCCCGGCTGTGGGAGGGGGTGGCCTGGGGGACTTCCTGTCTAGACAAGGCCGTGGCCTGGCCTGGTCCGTGGGTGGTGGTGTCAGAGGCCAGCCCTGGCCACATGTGGGTTCTGCTTATGACAGCAGGGAGACTGAGGTCCCGTGTAGCGCTCCCTGGGGGCCCCCCAGGTCTTCCAGCCACACCCACAGGCCCAGCTCATACTTCTACACAGCCGTGCACAGGTGTGGGTTCTGGTGTTTTCAAGAAGGGCATCTGGTAGACCTCAGCCCATGTCCTGGGGTAGAACTCATACATGCTACAGCTCAGCTTATCTGTGAGCTTGCTGTGCTCTGAGCTGCTTTTAAGAACCACATGTACCATACTGGCCAGCAGCCATCAGAAAGGGGTGCCTTTTCTTTTGTTTCCACAGTCATCAGACTTCATGTTCCGATGGCATTTCTGTCCACAGCCTAGTAGCTCTGTGATGTCTGGGTTGTGAGTGCCAAGAAATGCTGGTGGGCCTTCCAAGGTTTCTGAGACTGTGACATACTGTTGAGAATGTAAACCTTAACATATCACTCTGAAATGCTGAGTACCACCAGTGCAAGTCGTGGCATTTACGGGGAGCCTGGACGTCGTGTCCTGCGGGGCCAGAGGTGAGCCCTGGCGCCTTCTGAAGGGCGTGTCCCTCATGCTGACATCCTCTGCCGACATCGGTCGTGACTTGCTTGCATCCTGGCGCATGTCTCCTTTCCTCTCCTGGAGCCTTGTTGAAAAGGCTCGTCTGTCTCCTTTCCTCTCCTGGAGCCTTGTTGAAAAGGCTCGTCTGGTTTAATGTGTTTGCTTTGTGCAAGAATGTCAGTGTCACTGCAAGACCGCGACAGTGTGTCCTGGTAGGGACCAGACAGGCTGGCTCCTCCCCACTGCTGGAAGCAGGCAGCAGCCCCTTCCTCTAGTCTGAGCCTTTTGAGAGGGGCCTCACGGGGCTGACTGCGACCCGCTTCACTGGGCCGCCTGGTGCCCCCTCCCGTGAGCCAGGCCCATGGCGTGCCCAGCTTCCCAAATCATGGCAAGCACACCCCAGGTGTCAGCCAGGAGCCCACTGTTAACGCCTGGCCCGTGGCGGTGGTGGGAGGGGGGGCTTCCTAACCTGGCCACATCAGGGTCGGACACTAGGTGCCAGGGACAGTGCCACACGGGTAGGGAAGATGCCACATGACATATTTTAGACACTGATTAGGAGAACAATGTTCTTGTAATTTATTTTCATCCAGCGAGTTTTCTTGGCTCCAGCCTTTCTAGTTCCCAGAGGTGTGGGGCAAACAGTTTCTGTGAGAACAGAGATGACGGTGGGTTGGGGACTGGCGATGGGGGTCCCCTCAGGGCAGCCCAGAGCGTCCTCTGGGGCTGGAGAGTAAGCTACTATTTGGAGCTGCAGCAGGGCAGTCTCGGAAGGAGAGGGAAGCATATTTACAGGCTAGAAATTCGGTTTCTGGAGGTTTAACCTGATTGTGAAGAGGGTTCTGAGTACAGTGGCCTCTCCATGGTGAGAAGAGCCAGTGTGGGCTTGCCCTATTTTCCTCTGAAAGGAGCCTTCCTGGTGCTCATAAAACAAATGCCCGCAGATACACAGAGGCCGTTTCCAAAGTGGAACACAATCTCCATTTAGTACCTGACCAGAAGCAAACGCAAGGGTTTCTATTTTGGACAAACTGCCAGGGCAGAATGTATTTCAGTGTCTTCTAGGGAAATCCGTGCAGGACAAAACCACGCAAGCCTGAGTGGATTGAGGCTCATTTACAGACCTTATCTGTCTTCTGCTGAGAAATGCACTACGCATGATGTCATGGAGACCACATGTGGTGTATGCAACCCCCCCCCCCATCCTGTATATGGAGTTTTTAAAAACAGTTGCCCTGGAGTGAACTGAATAAATAAAGCTATAACCTGCTCTCTGCTCTTGGTGGGAGGCCACAGGGAGAGGGGATACTCAGAAGCCCCTGCTCCAACCACTGGTCACCAGTGCCCCAACAGGCTCCCAGGTGAGGGAGATAGAGGCCCCCTTATAGGACACTTCTGTCCTTTACTATTTTTAAAACATTAAAGAAAAAAAAATTCTTTTGTTTTTTTGGCCATACTGTGCAGTATACAGGATCTTGGCTCCCCAACCAGGGATTGATACCATGCCCCCCTGCAGTGGAAGCACAGAGTCTTAATCATTGGACCACCAGGAAAGTCACTATTATTGTTCTGAATGTTCTGGCACTTCGACCCAGAGAACCAGCCTGCCTCTATAGCCCAAGATGACTCTCCAGGCCCTAGGGGACCCCAGAAAAGGCCTGGGCTTAGCACAGATCTTTGGGCCAGCAAGCCCACTCTGACCATTTCCTGGGTGAGCTCAGCCAGCCTGCAGAGACGGGCCTGACTCGGATGCCTCCAGAAGGGCAAAGGGAGAGGGCAGACAGACCAAGGCTAGAGACTCCTCCCCAGGCCCATTAAGAAACAGCTGAGCTGTCTTTCCAGCCCCTGCCGTCCCTCCCAGGCTCCTGGGGACACAGTCGGGCGAGTTTTGCACCCGTCTCTGCAGGAAGAGCCTAGAGAACACTGCCTGGCCTCAGCTCAAATGGGGCCCTCTGTTGGCAGAGCACCCTGCAGGCTCCATCCAGAGGCCGGGCTGCCCCGAGGCCCAGCCTGCCAAGACCCCAGTGAGCAGACCACCGGGTCTGTGCGCCTGCTTGGCAGCTGATGTGGCAAGAGGGGCTGGAGCTCTGGCTGCCTTGCCCAAGCGCCACCCTGAGGGGTGTGAGGGCTAGCGGGGAGGTCACAGTACCTGAGGAGCAGCAGTCCCCACCAGTCGAGGTGTCTGGAAGCCCACTGCCCCCCACGGCTGGCCGCTGGGCCCACTCAGCCCTTCTGTTGGGCCTCTGCCAGGGCCACTATGCAGACAGTGCAGGGTGGCCAGTGGCTCTGCATGCCTGACAGCTCTTAAAAAGTTCCAGAGTGACAGTGAAAACCAGTGCTGTGAATGTCTCCAGGCTGTGATGGGGCGCTGGTCCTCCAAGTTTGGCTCCTAGCATGTGGCTGGTGGGCCGGGTAGATTGTCATATAAGCAGCAGGAGACCAGGCTGGCCCGCCATGCTGTCCGCCTCCACAGGCTGCTCCTCACCTGGCCGCGGGGGACCGCCGCCCGTCCAGGTCAGCACCTCACAGCACTGGCGCCAGGCAGTGAGCCACCCTGTGCTGTCCTGGGGGCTGAGGAGGCCCCTCCACAACTTCTAACATCACTGGGGGTGGGGGGCCCAGACTCCCAGCAGATTGCCCCATCACCACACCGCACACCCCATGGAGTCAAGCATGACCTGGGCAGAGCCGGCTCAGAAGCTGTCAGCAGTCCTGACGTCTGAAACAATAACCACCCCACATCCTCTACCAATCCACTCTCCAATCTAACACGCTCCCTAAAGGAGGGGCCTGGGAACTCCCGGGCAGTCCAGTGGTTAGGACTCGTCGCTTTCACTGCCGTGGCCTAGCTTCAATCCCCAGGTCAGGGAACTAAAATCCTGCAAGTGGCGTGGCATGGCCAAAAGTAAATAAGTAAAATAGTAAATAAATGTGGGGCCTGCAGGCTGGGATATTCTGCAACCTTGTTGTTATTCAGTGGCTCAGTGATGCCCGACTCTTTGCATCTCCATAGACTGCAGCACGCCAGGCTCCTCTGTCCTTCACTGTCTCCCGGAGTTTGCTCAAATTCATGTCCACTGAGTTGGTGATGCTACCTAGCCTCTAACCTCGGTTACCCTCTGACCTCATTAAGACAGATGGATAAAGGAGAAAACAGCCTGAAGGAGCACCAACCGTTTTTAAGCTCAAATTAGGCCACTGCCCTCAAACTGTGACCAACAACCCAAACAAGTGGCCACCGCGCAGGTCAAAAGGGACCGACCTGAGGCCCCTCACCGTGAAACCATCCGGGGCAGGGCTTGAGCTGCGCTGTGCCGGGGCGTGTGTCCGGCGGTCTCCCCTTAAGACCTGAGAAAGACCCTGGTGCTGGGCGCCCCCTTCGATGCTGGCCAACGGTCCGCTCGGGAGCCAGCGCCTCCGCCAGGCCCAGCTGCCAGCTCCCCGTCCTGGTGGCGCTCATGTGGTGGGTCTCCCATGAAAGGAGAGCGCCATTTGCAGGAGTTCCTGCCCCAGTTCCTGCTGCTTCCCTCCGGGGCCGAACTCCGAAGACAGCTCCCGAAAGGTGACGCCCACGCGCCGGGCCCTGACGTCTCGCCGGTGGATGGCGTGCTTCCACTGGTGCCGCGCGCCTCCCCTGAGCACCACCAGGGAGCGGCGGGGCAAGGCGACCGCCACCTCGACCTCCTGGCACGGGACGGACCGGCTGGGGGCCATCGCGCCGTCCGCCAGGGCCTCCGGGAAGCCGGATGGGGCCAGGCAGAGCAGCAGGCTGCCGGGCGCCTCCCGGGACATGGATAGCACGGTGGGGGACAGCAGGTTGAGGCTCACCAGCCTCTCCCCCCACAGCCAGGCGTCGTCCAGGTGGGGGTCTATGGCCGAGCCCCGCTCCGGGCAGTAGTCCAGGTTGCACTGCTCCACGGGCCGGAAGTCCTCCAGGATGGGGTACAGGCCCATCCGCCGCACCACCTCCCGGCTGAAGCTGGGGAGGCCTCGGAAGCCGGCCATCTTTAGCTTCTGCTTCCGGAAATTGACTTTGGGGCCGTAGTCCTGGAGGATGAAGACGAAAAGGAAGCAGGGGGCTGGCTGAGTTTACGGAAATGGCATCACACGGCAGGGCGGAAGAATCCAATCACAGAGACCAAGACAAGCCACGATGTCTGACTTCGTGGATCTGACATTTTGGCAGGAGATAGACACCACAGACATAAATACAAACAGCAGCACCAGGTGGCGGTAAATGCCGAGGATAAAAAAGCAGGGGCAGCGGATGCGAAGTGGCGGAGGACGTCTCCGCCCAGGCACCTCAGGAAGCAGAGCTAGAGCCCCGTGTGTGGGTGGTGGCCCCCCGACGCGGTGGCCAGGAGTCAGGGCCTGGGGAGGAGGAGTAGCCAGGCAGGGCAGGTGGGAGGGCGGCCCGCCCAAGGCCGTGTTACCCAGCTGGTCAACACTGGGCACAGCTGGGCTTCAAGACCACAAGGGAGGAGAGTTCCCCAAGCACCCAACAGAGGTTCCACTTCTGGCCTCACTGAAGAGAATGGAAACACAAGTCCACATAGAAACCTGTACCCGAATGTTCACAGCAGCACTACTGAAAAAAGTCAAACAGTGGGGACCTCCCTGGTGGTCCAGTGGCTAAGACTCCGAGCTCCCAATGCAGGGGGCCCGGGTTCTATCCCTGGTCAGGGAACTAGATCCCACATGGCCTAACTAAGAGTTCATATGCTGCAACTAAGACTCGGTACAGGCAAAAAAAAAAAGAAAGTGGAAACAACCCGTGTCCACCAGCCGGTGAATGATGAACAGAGAGTGGTCTATCCATACAACGGAATAATGCCGAGTCACAAAAAGCAGTGAAGTCCTGATACAGGGTGCAAAGCGATGAACCCTGAGAACGTGCTCGGTGAAAGATGCTGGACACAGAGGCTCATACCCCAGTTATAGGAATGTCCAGAACAGGCCAACCCACAAAGACAGAGAGCAGGTAAGTGGTTGCTGGGGGATAAGGGAATGCAAACTGACTGGCAATGGGTGTGTGGTTGCCCTGGGGTGATGAGAATGTTCCAGAAATAGACAGTGGTGATGGCTGCACAACACTGTGGCTACACTGAAAATCAAAGCACTGAATCATATACTTGAAATGGGGGATCTTACAGTAGGTGACTTCCATCTAAAAGGAAAAAAAAAAAAACACGAGAGAGGAGCCCTGCAGCTCAGATCTGAGGGGTGAAAGGGGAGCATGAATACACACTCCTGCTCCCTGGGGTCCCCTCCAGTGGAGGGTGGCCCCACCTGGTGGTAGAGTCAGACCAGCTGGCTCCTTCAGGTCACCCCGACCCGTCGGCAGCAGCTGGCAGAAGGGCCACAGGCAGAAAGAGAAGCCGGAGCCTGAGGAATCCCTGGGAGGCTGGGGCGACTGCTGTGGGGAGAGCAGCCGCGGAGACACGGCTGGGCTGGCGGCCAGCAGAGGGCCTTTCAGGGCCCGGGAAGGCCTGTGTTCGCGCTGAGATGAGAGCCCCGGAGGGCCTGCAGCAGAGCGGCGACCCTGACCAGATGGTGGGATCACTTCCTACTGAGACCAGCTGAGGAGGGGCGGTGGCTGCGCAGGGAGTGTGGGAGGCAGGTGGGAGCAGTGGCCAGGGGTGAATGTTCTCAGATTCAGGACGTGTTTTAAAAGAGTGAAGAGCTGACAAGAGTCACCAGTGAAAGACAGAGAGGACTATGGAAAGATCCAGGGTTTCTGGTCTGAGTAGGTGGAAGGTGGAATGTGCCAGCTCAGCTCAGGGTTGACAAACAGGAGAAGCTGGGGCTGGAGATACGAGCACGTGAGCCCTGGAATTGTGGGGCTGGGCCTCGCTGAGATCAGCTAGGGATGTCTGGAGAGGGAGGAGAGGCCTGAGCCTGAGAACCAGCCGCTGGGTTTAGGGGTGGGGGTCGGCGATGAGGCAGTTTCAGAGTGGGTTAAGGGCAAGCAGGAGGAGAGGAGATGAATAGAACAGCTGCCTCTTTTGAGAAGTTCTGCTGCAGAGATGAGAAATGCACCTTCCTGGGAGGCCGGTGGGAGAGAGCCGACCTTGAGAGAAGGGAGCTGGACAAGGGCTTCTGGGAAGCAGCAACCAGCCCGAGGCTGGAGAGGGGCTCGGAGGGAAGTGGGGCACAGGAGAAAAGGGAACCTTGGTAGATCTGTCTGTTTTCTCGGAGAGGCCAGGTCATCACTGGACAAGGAGGAGGGAGCTAGGACTGGAAGGACAGCAGTAAAGCCAATGACCTGGGGAGGTCAGCACGGCTCTGAGCACGAAGGGCCCGGCTCAGGATGGAGAGCCAGAGCCTGGGGGACCACCTGGGGGTGGGCGTGGGGGCTGGACCCGACCAGGGCTGTGGGTGAGCAGAAGGAGTCTGACAAAGTGAGAGGAGAAAGGGTGAGGGACACCTGAGGAAGTGCCTGTACTAGAAGCCCTCGCACCACAACTTGGGAGTAGCTCCTGCCTGCTGCAATTAAGAAAAAAGCCTACACAGCAATGAAAACCCGGCACAGCCAAAAATAAATAAAATAATTAATTAGTTAAAGAAAGAAGCACTCCATGAGAGTCACTGGCACCAGGCCAGCTGGGGAGAGGGCAGAGAGAGCTGGGTGGCCGTCCGCTTCTGAGCCCCAACTCACAGGAAGGTAAACAGGCCATGCTCTGGGCCCTTCCCCAGCACGCCCTATTCAGCAGCCCTGCCCTCCCGCACCCCTAGGTCAGCTTGTCCGCTAATGGCTCTGGGGGGTGGCTGCAGAGGCAGGCATGGAAAAGGAGGGAAGATCGGGGGCTCCAGGGTCAGGGGCTTGGCAGGCTCTGCGACCTGACTGCCCTCTCTGGCCGGCCAGCCTGGCCCTCCTTCCCCAGCCCTGCTCTGGCTCCGCCTACCTGCTTCCTCCGCCCAGACTGGGACAGCTTCCAGGGGTCGCGGTCCATCAGCTGCACCATCTCGGCTTCTTCCTCCGGGGTCACGAAGTCCTCGATCAGGGTCACGCCGGGGAAGGGGAAGGCCCAGCCTTCAAAGTCAGACTCCTCGGCCCCCACAGCCCAGCCGGTGTCGGGGTAGTAAATGAACCGGTGTGTTTTCTGCAAAAGAAAGACAGGGGTATCAGAGCCTCTGGACCCCTGGCTCACACTGCACATGTGCCCTAAGAAGCTGCCCCACCCAGTGGTGCACCCTCCTCGGCAGCACTTTGTGAGGCAGCTGGCATCTACCGGGAGGTGGGACCCCTGCCCAGCCCCTGCCTTGCTGACTTTCTCCTCTGTAAAAGGGAAGAGAGTACACAGGACCAGTCTGTCGTCTTCCACCTTGCAGGTGAGGTGACTGAGGCTCAGCCAAGTTAAGGAACTAGCCCAAGGCTGCAGCCTCCGAGGCCACACTGCTCCCGTGTCGCCGTGTGCACTGTCTGTCCCCCCCAGGCTAGTGAGGCCTGTGTGAAGGCCGACGGCCCTGACGGGGAGCATCTCCCCGTCCCGGGAAATCTGCTCCTCTAAAGCGGAGGCCTCGGGCTGCCCAGGGGGTGAGCACACATGCTGGGAGACCGAGGGAGAAGCTCTATCCAGCCGCAGTGGGGGTGTCGCATGGAAAAAGAACAGAGGACTTCCCAGGTGGCTCGGTAGTAAAGAATCCGCTTGCTCATCTTTTAATTTCATGGCTGCAGTCACCATCCACAATGATTTGCAGCCCCCCAAAATAAAGTCTGTTACTGTTTCCATTGTTTCTCCATCTATTTGCCATGAAATGATGGGACCAGATGCCATGATCGTAGTTTTCTGAGTGTTGAGTTTTAAGCCAACTTTTTCACTTTCCTCTATCACTTTCATCAAGAGGCTNTGAATGCTGAGTTTTAAGCCAACTTTTTCATTCTCCTCTTTCGCGTTCATCAAGAGGCTCTTTAGTTCTTCTTCACTTTCTTCCATAAAGGTGGTGTCATCTGCATATCTGAGGTTATTGATATTTCTCCCAGCAATCTTGATTCCAGCTTGTGCTTCATCCAGCGTTTCTCATGATGTACTCTGCATATAAATTAAATAATCAAGGTGACAATATACAGCCTTGACATACTCCTTTTCCTATTTGGAACCAGTCTGTTATTCCATGTCCAGTTCTAACTGTTGCTTCTTGACCTGCATACAGATTTCTCAAGAGGTAGATCAGGTGGTCTGGTATTCCCATCTCTAAGAATTCTCCACAGTTTATTGTGATCCACAGTCAAAGGCTTTGGCATAGTCAATAATGCAGAAATAGATGTGTTTATACACATATTTAGTACACACTGATTAATAACTCAGAAGGACATCACAGATTATGGTAAGAATATATAGCTTTGGGAGGCAGAGTGCCTGAGATTTGAACCCCAGTTCTACTATATATGACTTCCCTGGTGGCTCAGATGTTCAAGAATTTGCTACAATGCAAGAGACTTGGGTTCAATTCCTGGGTTGGGAAGATCCCCTGGAGAAGGAAACGGCTACCCACTCCAGTACTCTTGCCTGGCAGAATTCCATGGACAGATGAGCCTGACAGGCTACAGTCCATTCAGTCCATGGGGTCACAAAGAGTTAGACACAACTGAGCGACTAATACTTTCACTTTTCTACTTCATACTACTGTATGTGATCTTGGGCAAGTGACATAAATTCTCTGCATTTAGTTGCTAATTCATAAATTTGAGGTTAAAAGAGTACCTACTTGACCGTAGTGTGAGGACTTGATGTTGTGAAATGAAAATATCTCCCACCATATCAAGAAATGTCACAGCCAGCAGTGATTTCTGGCCTCCAAATGTGAATGAGGGCAGCCAAAACTGTGATCCAGAAGATGCCACCATCCCCTAGGGTGATGAGGAGCTGGGGGGATACAAGAAACAAGGTGAACAAGGGAAGGGGATTGGCCCCAGATAAGTGAGGTGCCTGTGAAAGGAATGAATTCAGTGAGTCCCCAGGCTTGCATCTTCCCATACATTGAATGCTAAATTCTTTAACTTGATACCTGATCTTTGTTGTTCAGACTGCCTGCTCCCTTTGTTGCAAACTTGTATATAGCCTGGCTTCCTCTCAGGCTTCCATGGAGCAGTTTTCTCAGAGACACTGAAGGGCTGTCTCCTGGGCTTTGAGTCCTAAACATTCCCACCAAAAAAAATAACTACTTTCAGGTTGTGACTATATTTTTTGGTAGACAGTGTGTTAACACAGGTGCTACAAAATCGTTGTCATTATTATTGCAAATCTTGATCTCCACATGTAACTGTTAGAAAACGCCGCGGGAAGAAAGAGCCACCTCTAAGGACCGTTGATGAAGGCCTTTATTGGGCGGTCGCTCTCGGGCAGAACGCCCGGGGGTGGGTGAGTGAAGAGACAAATGGAGTCTGCAACCTGCGGGAATGGGGGCGGCACCTATATACCCTGGCAGATACGGAAGCGGCGGGACCTTTTCGAATATACTTGGAGTCAGGCTCTAGGGTGCTGATTGGCCTTTTGTCCCGCGTCGGTTTTTCTTGATTGGCCGGAGTCTTGGCACCTTCGCGTCCATCAGTCTGCCTGGCAACGGGCTGCTGATTGGTGGATGTCTGTCCCTGGTACTTATCTGGGACTTTTTGGCGGGGCCAGTTAGCGTGACCTTTCAGTAACAATGTGACTGGAAACCTATCTCAATGAAGTCTTAAAGGAGCTTCTTAAACCTTAGCGGAGCAGTGCTTAGGAACACATGTATGAAGTCAGATAACACTGCATTGAAGATACTTTTCCAAAGGTAACCATCAATATGGATTTACATCTCATTCTTTCCACATCTTCTTACCCAGTCAAAAACATGATGCCAGTAGTCCCTACTCCAAAATACAGTAAAAAATTAAGTTAGTAAGGAGCTAAGTAAAGCCTTCAAATAGAATTTAGTGCACAATTAGTGCTAAATAATTAGAAAAGCACTCATTCTTACCACAAATAAATCAAGCTAAATTACCAGATGGAAATTTTAAAACTTAGTCCAAAGAATTATCTGACATATGTAGTCTTACATACTATTTCCTTGCAGAGAAAAAGCAAAGAAGAAAAGGAGGAAGACAGGGAGGAAGGAAGGAAGAAGGTGGTGATGATGGTTTAGTCACTAAGTCATGTCTGACTCTTGGGACCCCATGAACTATAGCCCACCAGGCTCCTCCGTCCATGGGATTCTCCAGGCAAGAATACTGGAGTGGGTTGCCATTTCCTTCTCCAGGGCATCTTCCCTACCCAGGGATTGAACCCAGGTCTCCTGCATTGCAAGCAGTTTCTTTTACCAACTGAATTACAAGGGAAGCCCCAAGGAAGAAGGAAACAATTATTCTATGAAAAAACTTTAAATCTTCAATCTTTTTACAGCTCTGTCCTTGTCATTCAAGACTAAGCCAAGGATAATTGCCCAAGACACTGATCACAATTAGAATCCAAGAGTTGTTGACAGTTTAGGCAGGCTTGTTCCTCAAACCTTGTCAAAACTCATTTCCCTTTTTATAATTACGTAATCCTCATTCAACATCCTGGCCAAAAAAGAAACAAAACAAACAAAAAGAACCAGAATGTTCTTATATTTGTTATTGGTGTCATAGTTATTCACCTGAACATGAGGGTGCACATTTTGGAATAACTTAAGCAATGGCACAAGTCAGAAAGACCAGACCTTCGTCAGAGTGGACCCAATCCCTAGAATCTTGCCCAATCTTTCTATTTTTTTCCTTCTTTTGCTGTTTGCTGTCAACCCAGAAGCTGAGGCAGCCTTCCCACCTCTGGGTCTCTCTGTCTCCTTTTTCTTATCTGTAAAATGGAGGAATAGTGGACCTCAGACTCAAAGGGGAGCTGGGAAGATTGAGATCAATGTAAAGTTCTAAGCTAACAGCAGACCACACTACAAATTCCATTATGTATGTGATAGTTATTAATATGGAAGTTGTCAGAGACCCAGTTAATCTCAAGTGAAAAACCTATCAATAGTTGCTAAACTATAATCTAAATAAAGGTAATATTTTAGGCTGACTCCTTAATTCTCCATTGGAGCTTTCTATTGTAATTTCTCACTGTCAGAAAGGATGGCCATAAATAATGTATCAGAAGAATGCTTAAAAAACAAGATGCGATCCTTGTATATCTTTGTAGTTTCAAAAAGGCTCCTTTGACCAAAATGTGCTATCGTTTCTCTGCTCAAGAAAACTGCATTTTAGTAAAACATTTACCCAGGAGATTCCATGATAGCATTATTAATTGTGTATCAGCAGTCACTTAACTAAGTTAAAGCACAGATATAAAGTCAGATTGCTCAGAATTAAAATCCTAACCCTCTGCTCATTGCCTGTGGGACCCTAAGTAACTCTCTGAGTCCCAGTTACTTTAGCTGTAAAATAAATTAATACTCTCTCTTTACAAGGTTAGCATGAAAGGCAAGTAACTAGAACCACATTTTTAAAAAAAAATACATTACCTAGCCCAATGGACATTCTCAGTGTGCATTTGAATTTTCACCTTCTCTGTAACCTTTGCTCTACTATAGTCTCAAAGTTCAGTAATGAAGACATCAATATGCATATTTATAATCACTCACAGGAGGATAACTTAGATCACTGGAAACTGAGGCTCTCTTTGCAAAACTGCTGAGAATTGGGCCCCATTCTCCAGGCCCAGGAGACTGCTTACCCTCTACTCCCTCACTCAGGGCCTCTCAGAGAGCCGATTCCAGGGTGATCTATTCTTTACCTAACAAATTTCATAAAGGGAATGTGGTTTCTTGCTTAGAAAATTTCAGTAGAAACACTTAAGACAAGATTTTCGATTGCAGAGGAAAAGCATACGTGCTTTCTGGCCACGCTCCGTACTTCCTCAGACTGCTCTTCCTTGCAGTTCTAGCGACTCACCACTTCCGCTGCAAACACTTGCCTTGATGCGTGCTGTGAAGCATCATGGGAAAGGAGCTCTCGTCAGGTCTATCAAAGCAACTAACCAAGCTTCAGCTACAATACAAGTTCTCACGAGAGCAAGGAATTAGGTCTCTTGTGTTTACCTGTTCAGTCGCGTCCCACTCTTTGTGACCCCGTGGACTGTAGTCCGCCAGGCTCCTCTGTCCACGGGATTCTCCAGGCACGAATACTGGAGTGAGTTGCCATTTCCTTCTCCAG